GCACCTGTGTGCTGCCACCAGCACTTTCCCAACAGCGCTGCCCGGCTCCTGGAAGTCGGCCTCAGGCACCGGGGCTGCTTCCTCTCCCCAGATGCTCCACAAGAAATGATGTAAAAGTGGCCACCAGGTGGCTCCCGACAACTGGCACAAACATCAGTGGGATGGATCCGGATGATCCCAGGCCGGCAATGGCGTCCCACCACCCGCCCGGAGGGCTGATCACATCTCGTCCACCCACACCCCTTCAGGATGGGCACCAGATGCAGGGCTCACGGCTGGTGAGTGCCACTGTGGCATCGTGAGCCTCTCCCGATCTAGACTGGGCACGAGCCCATGGCAGGCACAATGGGGCTGGGGCTGGGGCCAGGGTGAGTGGGAGCGGCAGGGGGCATTGGACTGCGGAGCTGCCCCCTGGTGGTCAATGCACGCCCACAGTGGGAGTGTCGCTCAGCTGACTGACCCATCCTGGCCTGGTGGCAGCCACTCACTCCCTCAGTAGTCCTGCAGGCCCAATCTCCGAAGGATGGGCCAGGGACCAACTGACTGGTGCCACCAGCACTTTCCCAACAGCGCTGCCCGCCTCCTGGAAGTCGGCCTCAGGCACCGGGGCTGCTTCCTCTCCCCAGATGCTCCACAAGAAATGATGTAAAAGTGGCCACCAGGTGGCTCCCGACAACTGGCACAAACATCAGTGGGATGGATCCGGATCTGGATCCCAGGCCGGCAATGGCGTCCCACCACCCGCCCGGAGGGCTGATCACATCTCGTCCACCCACACCCCTTCAGGATGGGCACCAGATGCAGGGCTCACGGCTGGTGAGTGCCACTGTGGCATCGTGAGTGCTGGGGCACCGTCAGTCCTTAATCTGGTCACTGCACACGTGCGCTTGCGTTCCACACCCTATACAGCAGCAACTTTGTAGAGTGCCCTCTCCCACTCTGGGGAGCTGCAGGGGGCATTGGACTGCGGATTTCAGCCCGATCCCCACAGGCCATGCTGAGGAACCCCACTGGTGCATGAATCCGTGCACTGGGCCTCTAGCTGTAAGTAAGGCTGTTGTGAATATAGGGGTGCATATATTCTTTCTGATTGGTGTTTCTGGTTTCTTAGAATATATTCCCAGAAGTGGGATTGCTGGATCAAATGGCAATTCCATTTTTAATTTTTTGAGGAAACTCCATACTGTCTTCCATAGTGGCTGCATCAGTCTGCATTCCCACCAGCAGTGAACTAGTGTTCCCCTTATCTCCACATCCTGGCCAGCACTTGTTGTTTGTTGATGTACTGATGGTAGCCACTCTGGCAGGTGTGAAGGGATATCTCATTGTAGTTTTAATTTGCATCTCTGATGATTAGTTAAGCATTTTTTCATGTCTATTGGCCATCTCTGTGTCCTTTTTAGAGAAGTGTCTATTCATGTCCTTTGACCATTTTTTAAATTGGATTGTTTGTCTTCCTGGTGTTGAGTTGTATGAGTTCTTTATATATTTTAGAAATTAAGCCCTTATCAGATGTATCGCTGGTGAATATGTTCTCCCATACAGTGGGTTCCCTTTTCATTTTGTGGATGGTTTCTTTTACTGGGCAGAAGATTTTTAGTTTGATGTAGTCTCATTTATTTTTTTCCTCTTGCCCTAGATCCGTGGTCGGCACACCGCGTTGCTGGGCCGCGAGCCACATGGGGCTCTTTGGCCCCTTGAGTGTGGCCACGAAGTTTCAATTGCACTGTACGTGCGTGCCCGAAAGTGGTATTTTGTGGAAGTGCCATACTCAAGGGGCTGCAGTTTGCCGACCACTGCCCTAGATGAATTGGTAAAAATACTGCTATGTGAGATGTCTGAGATTTTACTGCTTGTTTCCTTCTAGGATCTCTATGGTTTCACAACTTACATTTAAGCCTTACCCATGTTGAGTTTATTCTTGTATATGGTGTAAGTTGGTGGTCTAGTTTTTCTTTCTTTTGCATGTACCTTCCTAACACCATTTATTGAAGAGGTCTTTATTCCATTGTAGGCTCTTGCCTCCTTTGTCAAATATTAATTGACCATAATGGTGTGGGGCAATTTCTGGGGTCTCTGTTGTCATGGGCTATTTGGTTTATGTGCCTGTTCTTGTGCCAGTACCAGGCTGTTTGGATGACAGTGGCTTTGTAGTATAGTTTGATATCCAGTATTGTGATCCCTATAACTTTGTTGTTCTTTCTCAAGATTGCTAAGGTTATTTGGGGTCTTTTTTGGCTCCATATAAATTTTTGGAATATTTGTTGTAGATCTGTGAATGATGCTATTAGTATTTTAATAAGGATTGCATTGAATTCTCTATTTCTTTTTTCAATGTTCTAGTTTTCTGAGTACAGGTCTTTTACCTCCTTGGTTAAGTTTATTCCCAAGTATATTATTTTGTTGTTGCAATGGTAAGTGGAATTTTTAAATTAGTTTCTCTTTGGGAGTTTACTAGTGGTGTATAAAAATGCCATTGTTTTCTGGGTATTAATTTTGTATCTTACTATTTTGCCAAATTCATTCATTAAATACAGTTTTTTGGTGGAGTCTTTAGGGTTTTCTGTGTACAATATGTCATCTGCTAATAATGAGCTTTACTTCCTCCTTCCCGATTTGAATGCCTTTGATTTTTTTCTTCTTGAAAGCAGACATCCCTGTCCTGTCCCTGATCTTAAGGGAAATGCTTTTAGCTTTTGCCCATTGAGTATGATGTTGGCTGTAGGTCTGTCATATATGGCCTTGATCATGTTGAGGTATGATCCCTCGGTTCCCACTTTACTGAGAGTCTTTATCATAAATGGGTGGGGGATTGTGTCAATGCCTTCTGTGTCTGTTGATATGACCCTGTGATTTTCATTCTTCATTTTGCTTATGTGATGTATATTTGATTTGTAAATATTTTATCAGTCTTGCATACCCAGAATAAATCCCTGTTGGTCATAGTATATAATCTTTTAAAAAAATACATTGTTGGACCCAATTTGCTAATATTTTGTTGAGTATTTTAGCATCTAAGTTCATCAGGGATTTTGGCCTGTAATTTTCTTTCTTTGTAGTGTCTTTATCTGGTTTTGGAATTAGGATAATGTTGGCTTTATAAAAAGAGCTAGGAAGTCTCTTGAATTTTTTTCTAATAGTGTGGGAGGATAGGTGTTAGTTCTTCTTTGAATGTTTGGTAAAACTCACCTGTTAAGCCATCTGGTCCAGGGCTTTTTTTTTTTTTTTTTTTTTTTTTTTTTTTTTGCTGGGAGTGTTTTGATGACTGCTTCAACTTCATTAGTTGTTATCGGCCTATTCAGATTTTCTGATTCTTCCTGATGGAGTTTTGGAAGATTGTATGTTTCTAGGATTTTTTTCATTTCACCAGGTTGTCGAATTTGTTGGCATATAGTTGTTCATAACATTTTCTTGCAATAAGATCATTTATTGAAAGTTAAGGTGTAACTCAATGGTTATCAACTGCCAGTGACTGTGGCCCCTCACCCCCACCCAGACTTTTGGCCGTGTCTGGAGATATTGTGGTTGTCACAACTTGGGTGGTTGCTCCTGTCCAGAGTTGCTGTTAATACCCTGCAATGCACAGTACAGACCCCACAACAGAGCTGAAACCCATCTCCAAATGTCAGTAGTGCTGAGGTGGACAGAGCCTGGCCTAACTGTATGTTGCACCCCAGAGTAGAGTTAGAGCATACAATGCTTTGTGGTCAGGTCTAATAGTCCTTCACTCACTCATTCTCACATCCATCCATCTCAGATTTTCTGATTCTTCCTATTTATCCTCCCATCCATCTATCCACCCATCCTCCCACCCACCCATCCACAAGTTCCCTGGGTATGGCAGGCAGAGAATGGCGAGTGCTGGAGATGGAGCTGTGAGCAACAAGTGTCTGTCCTCATTCAGCTGATGTGAGAAGAGGAGACATAATACACGGAGATCTACGCTGAGGACGGCAGTTAGGTGCTGTGAAAAACAAGAGCAGGGAGACCTGGCGATGGGTCGGGAGTGAGCGACCAGGGAGAAGGGAGGGGCCTCTCGGTGAGATGCCATTTGAACAGCGCCCCGGTGAAGAGCGAAGGTATGAGGTCGGAGGTGGGAACTTGCTTGGTGTGTTCAAGGGACCACAGGCAGCAAAACACTCAGAATGTGAACTGCTCCATCAGGTGGGAACCTTGAGGAGGTGAAGCAGATGCCTGCCCTGACTTGGCCCTGGGCTCCCTTAGTGCCATTGCCCGCTGCCCTCCATGAGTGGAGGGCTCCTGGGTCCAGTCCTTCCTCTGTGCCCCTTGCCCCGGCCCAGAACCTCTGCCCATCCCCTTGCCTGCGGTCTACCCTCATGGCCCACCTTCTACCCTGCAGGTCTGAGCCCACCCCTTCCAACACCCTCTAGACTCCCAGTACCCGAGGAGCCAACTCTCAAGTCCTCGTGCCCAGCCTGGACCCTGAGCCTTTCCTATTCCCGCCACCCTCTGCACAGCCTCAGCCTCTGTCCTGAGCCACAGCGCCCCACCCAGGGGCAGCCACAACCCATGCCCGTGCTCATGCTCTTCTCGCAGGCGAGGTCTTTCCACCTCGTCTCTTCCCATCAATTTCTGATTCATCCACATTGACCTAAAATGCTACCTCCTCCATGAAACCCACCTGGTTGGAATCAGTGTCTTTGCCCTGTACCTTCACATCGTGTCATTTTACCCTCACGGTTATGAACCATGAACTAAGCAGAGCAGGTCTCATCATTCCTGGTCCATGTGTGGGTGGCACAGAGAGGCTCAGTGACTTTCCAAAGTCACACAGCTCCTTTGAGGCTCCTGGTAGTCCCATGCTTCCCTGGGACTCCAGACTCATCCTCCCACATTTATATGGCTTAGAAGAGCTTTAGATTTTTCTAGAAAATGTGAATAGGGGGGAAAAGGGGACATATGTTCAACAATAAAGATAAAAAGTAAAACGTTGAGTGTGGGTCCCCGGGCTGGGCTGTTTTGCTGTAGAACGGTCATATGTGAGAGACAGGAACGAGGGGCTCCCTGCTCGCTCTTGGCCCGCCACACCCTGGGCCCTCCTCCTAGAACTTTCTAAACCAACAAAGATCACTTTGCAAGCGGGAACGGCCGTCATCAGCCTCTCGTCCTGAGGAGCTGCCGCGTCGGGTGCTGGTTGCTGGGGGCCCCTTGGCCAGCTCCCAAACGCTGCCCTTGACCCAGGCCTGTTCCCGGCCGACCGCAGAGGCAGCACCAGGAGGCCTGGCTTGCTGAGAGCCACACCTGCTTCATTCCCTCTCGGAGCAGCTCTCTCTCGACTTGAATCGAGCTGTGATGGTGGCGACGTCAGCGCTGCTGGTGGCTCCTGAGGCCCGAGGCCGCCCTGCGTGAGCTCAGCGCTGTCTGCACCCCTCGCTTCCCTCCCTGCCGGGAGGAAGGTGGCAGCACCCCACCCGGCAGACCTGCACCCCGAGTCGGGGATATGACTCCGGCCCCTTCCCGCGGCCTGACTGCGTCTGCTCCGGGCTCAGGAAGGGGAGAGTGAGCTTTGCTCTGCGGTCCTGGGTCGCTAAGACCAACCAAAGGCCACGATGGCCCCGGATGTGGAAGCCACGCGACTGTCCCCTCAGCAAACCTGAAGGTCAGCGTGCTCCCTGGCGCTCCACGGGGGTCACAGCATCCAGGATGACACGCGTCGGTCGAGGGAACAGATGGCAAAGCCACAGCGGCCGTCTTCCTAGGCGGTGGCGAGCCCTGGGCCCCGGTGTGGGATACGGGGCCGAGGCGGGCAGCATCTGACAGGTTGAGGGAATGGAGGTGCTTCCCTGGAACGTGCCGGACCTGACCACACCGGCCCTGAGCGTCTGCAGGTCCACACGGCGCGTCCTGTGGCCTCGTCCTGGCTGAGCACCCCCTCCTGGGAGACCCGGAGGTGAGGTGTCCTGAGTTGGGAGCACAGGACCCGCGGGGCAGCAGCAGCTCGGGCTTTTCCGTGTGTGTGTGTGTGTGTGTGTGTGTGTGTGCGCGCGCGCGTGTGTCGGGTACTGAGGCCATCATGCTTGGAAATCCCCAACTGAAGATGCTCTTCCAGCTCGTGAAGTTCCCGTGTAGGTCCCAACACGGGGCCAGGCGCTGGGATGCAGCCGAGAACAAGAGAGAATCTTTCGAGGTCATTACACCCACGCCTGCGTCCTGCCCGCCTGACCGCAGCCCCCAGGCCCCTTCCCTGCTGTGACCTGTCCCAGTTGCCCTTTTATGTCCAGCTCCCTGCCTCCAGGAAATGTCCATTTTACAAAATACTCACCACACCCACACTCCCTCCTGGAGCGTCTGGGGGAAGGGGAGGAGGACCTTAATCCGCAGGCGTCACCAGGGGCTGGCAGCCCCAGAGATGTGGCCTGGACCTTACAGACTGCCCCCTGGTGGCCAAGCCTGGAAGTGCCGGCGAGGACCTGGGAAGGGACCTTGGCGAGCCCTCGGAGGGCTGCCCAAGAAGTGCCTTAAAATTCTGTTTTCCACCTAATTCACCACATGGGTGTCCACATCCGAGGGGCTCACCAGAGGCCACAAGTGTAAGCAGACTGCCTGAGCTTCTGCCGGTGCCGTAGGGGGCAGAGGCGGGTGCGCGGCAGGAGGTGCCCATGGCCAGCCCACGCCTGGGAAACAGACCTGTGCGGCCGACAAGGCCTTTCTCCGGCGTAACTACCCATTCAGACGCGTCTTGGTGTTCACTTTCCCGTTTGCAGTTCATGAATCTACCCACTGAAGCCGGGCTTCACCAACAGCCCACCGCTCTGAGACCAGCAAAGACAGCATCTGGGTTCCTGCTGCCCACGTTCCCTCCCCGCCCCCTCTCACCCATGACCCAGAGTGTGGGGGCCCCACAGCTGGCTGCCCTCCTCCTCTCCCCTTCGGGGTCTGGGCGCGAGCAGGGCCGCGAGAGCTGGGGCAGGAAGGGGCAGGGCAGGAGGGACCCGGGAGGAGGAGGCCGTGCGCAGGCGACACACCTGGCGGGTGCCCACCCATCAGCGGTGTGGGGTGATGGCGGGGGGACGGACCTGGGAGAGGGGCCCATTCTGCGGGTGGGGAGCCTCGTGCAGGTTGAGTATCTCAACGGCAGGTCCGAGTGTCTCCCGAGAACAAGTGTACTCACCTCCCTCCCAGACAGAGCCGACGTGGACCTTCCAGAAGCTGCTTGGAAAGGTGAGCAGTGTGCCGGCAACAGCTGAGGGCACCAGATGCCCCCTCCGCCCTTCCCCACCCAGGGGGACCCAGGTAGGGCCAACAGCCAACACCCCACCCGCCCCCAGGAACGAGACACAGGCCGCGGGCTCACCACCGGTCGACACCCAGCTGTTGTAGTGTAGCTTGGTTTTATTTATGTCCACAAATATTTCCAAAAAATTACAAAATACTCAAATGGAGAGAGCACAGAAGTCACGATCTCTGGTGTCTACGCTGCTCACACTGTGTTAGCTCACGGCAAACTACTCATATGTACATTTAGCTTCAAGGTACAGACACGCGGCACGTCGGACACACCTCGCTCTGCGGCCGCTGCGTGAGACCTGAAGCGCAACCTTGACAACATGGAACGAGATACATACAAAACACAGAAAAGCAAAACCAAACTTCAAACAAAGGAAGGAAAACCCAGAAGGAAACCAAGGGGCTGGGCTTCAAAGACCCCGCGAAGGCCGGGCCCTCCGCGGCAGCTGGCCGGGCGAGGGCCTCTGACTGCAGGGACCTCAGTGCTTCACCGCGGGACGTGGGGGAACCAGGGCCTGACAGACGCGCCTTCCACAGCTTTCAACACAGACTTCAAAGCACTAACCTCCCTCTTCTTTGGAAAAATGGATGCTGGGGAGGAGGTGAAGGGCCTGACTGAATGGCAGGCCGTATCCTACCAGAAGGAAAACGAGGGACGGGAGAGGGTGGGGCAGAGGCGGGAGGCTGGGGGCAGCGGGCGCCGCGGACGGGCAGCCCCCAGGAGAGCAGCGGCCAGAGAGCAGCCACCGCCCCGAGGAACGCATGCCCCTGCCAACGCAGCCATAGGTCCTATGACAAAGGGTTCATGTGAGCTTGTCTCCCCTGTAAGGAGCTAAATTTAAGGCAGAAACGGAATGAAAGAAAACTAAAGAAAAAACTACAAACATTTTCAACAAATAAAACAATCCTCTATCTGTCCCAACTGAAAGCAAAGGCGGTTTAGCAGGGATGGGAAATGCCCGGACCTGCGCTGCCACCTGGGTGTCTGGTCCCAGCGCCAGCCTCCCCTCCTACCCACGGGCTCGGGTCCTGGACGTACTTCACATGCCCCGGCCCACGGATATGCTCTCGTCTGACAATTCTTGGATGTGGCCACCACAGGCCACAGCAGAAACAGCCCTCAAGAATCTGAGGGAAGAGGGAGGAAAAGGTACCACCTGGCAGGAACAGGTGCAGCCAGCCAGTCTCCCCCCTCGGCCACGCAGAAGGCCGAGCCCCCAGCTGGCACCTCCCAGGGAACCCTGCCTTCCCTTCCCCGTGTGCGGCTGCCACTCCAGCTCCCACTTCGGGATGAAGGGTGGGACTCAACTGGTGTCCCAGTCTGACCCGGTCACCAAGCTCCTGGTAGACACACAGGCCGCCACCCACAGCCATGCCAACTCCGGGGTCTCACCCACCCGGAAAGCAGCCCGGGCTGTGGCAAGGATGGCCCGGCCTGGCGAGAGCGCGTGAGGACACACAAAAGGGCAGATGGCTAACAGAGCCTCTGGCCAGCATACGTGCTGAGTTACTTGTAGGGAATCGTTCTGAGAATGTTTACGCAGTTGTCAGAGTGAGAAGGGCAGTTCGGACAGAACAATCAAACACGTGCGCCTAGAACCCTGTCAGGAGATCTGCAACCACACACACAGAAACATGTGCTTTCTCTCCGGCAGACACAGGACGGTGGACATTTAACCCCTGCGCTCCTGGTGCAATGCCAGGAGGTCCGATCTGGCAGGTGTCTGCACCACTGGCCACGCACCAGCCAGGAACAGACCGAAGTGGAAAACCAAAGCAGCGAAACAAAAACCGCTTGTAACATTGTCCCTGCAAAACCCTGGATGCTCACTGCTGCGACCAAACCCAGGCCCAAGCTTTTGCCCATTTGTAATTAGTAACGCCCATCTGTTCCCTTTAATTAAAGGGATAATCATATATAACTTTTTATTAAAAAATCAACTCTGTATTCTGTCAATAGCCGATAGGAATTCACAATTAGTGACATGGCTGGAAAAAATAGATCGGAACAGTAGTTTGTGGAAGGAAAAAAAAGGCTGCTCTAAAATTATTTACAGACATAAAAAGCCGTGCTGCAGAACTTTCTCAAATTATGAAGATTTCCAACAATGTAGTAAAATAAAAGATTCTTCAAAAATTATAGCTCTTGGATTCCAAACTCATATGCCACCTATATCTGCAACCCCGCGGGTTTTGGCACACATGTGACTGAGTGTGTCTGCACGCACAGTGAGGGTGTGACTGGGTTCTAGCACCTACTGAGAAGTCGAGGAAGGGAAGGAGACGAAAGCCGAACCCCAAGATTGCTGGGTAGTTTTCTGAATGTTCAGTCCAGTCCAGTCCAGGACTCACTAAGTTTCTGGGGGACTGTCATGCAGGGAGACCCAAACCAGTCTCAAGGAATCCTCTCTACAAACACACACTATTATGCTGACAGAGTTTTAGTTGTGGGCTTTTAAATATAGAAAGAAATCTTTAGAAGATATTCTTTTGCTTTTGCAGCTCCTATTGTATGTAAAAAGTCCTGTTTATCCCCCCAAGACTGGGGCTTCCACAGCCAGCGTTAACAATAAATAACTTATAACTGCTTGTCACCTTCTTTCTTCAGCCGACTGGAAAGAGAAGCAGAGGAGAGCGACTTCAGCACCAGATGGGGGCTCCCAGGCAGTTGGCCTGCCCGCCCCGCCCCGCAAGAAGGCTCTATGGGGGCACCCTCTAGGGCCACATGTAGCCAGGGGAGGAGCCTGATGCCTGCTGATAGGGGAGGAGCATCGTGGGCACAGCCAGGAAGGGGGCCCTCAGGCTGGGGCAGTGGCCCGTGGGAGCCCAGCCAGCCTGCCCCTCCCCCAGGCCCCTCCCCACCTCACCTGTAATAATCTTCCTGACTTGGTAGGTGGCTGCCATGCATGTGGGGGTGTGCGTGCAGCCACTGCTGCTCCATGGCCAGTCTCTGCAGCTCAGCCGACTGGGCATGCATGGCCTGCAGCTGGTGGGCCGCTGACATGGGGGGTGGGATGGCCCCAGGCAGGTCTCGGGGGTAGGGGGTGCCTGCCAAACACAGAACAGTCTCCTGAACAGAGAGTCCAGGGGAATGGCCAAGACAAGGCCAAGGCCTGCAAGGAGACCAGGAGACCCCGGGGGAGGGGTGCCCGAGTACCGCCCCTCCCCCTGCTGAGTGGGCCTCAGCCTAGTGTTCCTTCTTCAGAGAGGCCCACCTTCCTAAGTCTGACTTAAATGTGGCGCCTTTCTTATTCTTTCATCCCGACTGTTCCCATCTGGGCTCCTGTTACACCTGTGCACCCCACCCACTGAGGGGACACGTGTTGAACACATGAACCAACGAATGACCGGGCCCTCCGGTCAGACCACTAACCAGCTCCTCACCGGACCCCGCCTTCCCAGGTGCATTCTTACCAAAAACTGGGTGACGAAGCATCTCGTGCTCATGGGGGGGCTGTCCAAGCAGAGGGTTGGGGAGGGTGCCAGGGGGATAGGGAAAGCGAGCCAGGTGAGGGCCAGCAGGGGGTCCA